CATTCATCTCTATAAGTGCTGAGGAAAAATCCAAATTTCAAATGGTGACCGCATTAACTAAACTTTATTAGTTTCCTGTAATTCTTTACATATTATTATATCTGCCACCACACAAAATGGTTCCTTTAGAGTTCAAATAACAATATTCTAATTTTTAAAGATGAACTTTTTGTTTAAACTTTTTCCTAGGTGATTCACATGAGTGAAGTAAGTATAAGTTATTATTATTTTTTAAGAGACAGGTATCTTGTTATGTTGCCCAGGCTGCCACCAAAATCTAGGGCTGAAGCAACACTTTATCTCAGCTTCCTGAGTAGTTGAGATTACAGGTCTGCACCATTACATATGGTGAAATGATTTCTTAATTAGAAGAAGGGATTATATACTAAGCAACATTTTAAGAAAGACCTCAGGAAAGGAAATTTTTAAAATCATATGAAATAGACTGATAAAGAAAAAAACTGTTATTAAACAAAAGGAAAAATGTCAAAAGGCCAAATGTAATTTAAATGGAGGAAAAAGTTTCTATTAGATTTAGATAAGAAAAAATTAAAGACTAGAAAATCCCAAAATGATGGATATAATTTGTAATTTTGTGAAAAGTATAATACACACCAGATAAGAAAAGGATGATGAAGACACCCAACACATATTACATAATGATTATCACCACTACAAGTAAATTAATCTACATAATTAGTTACTTCTTACAAAAAAGCTACAATACTCAGATATTATTATGGTACTATAAGAAGAAAGCTTAAAAATATTGGAGGAAAGAACTTTAACATGTACTGAGGTTTGTGTTTGTGTGCACCAAGTGCTACACCCCATGTACTCTGTATGTTTATGTGATGTATCTGTGTGTATTCACAAAAGCCGGTAGTTATTCAAAACTTCACTCTATAAATGAAGACAATGATGCAAAAGTAGGTGACAGGATTTGCTTGAGTTCACATTCCTGGTAAATGGCAGAAATGGGTATGTAATACTAAGGCTTGAGATCTTACCTGTTGAAGCTTATTTGACGATTACTATACAGAGAGCCACTCGAACATTATTTTGTAGTAAATAATTCAATCCCATAGATGATGTATAATTCTTGTTCACTTAAATGTATAAGACATGTTCTCACAGGCTGCTAGTTTATTTGTTGCTTCTTAGCATGGTTCTTTAGCATAGGTGTGTTGTTACTTTTGTTCTAACTTATCCCTCTCTGAGTTATCTGCTACTCCTATGGCTCAGAATACTACCTCGCCCCTCTGACTTTCACTCTTTTGCTCTAAGGAAGTGCAATAAAGAGCACTTGTTGATTTTTTTTTGCATTATAATTTTTAATACCGCTTTCTACCACAATTTAGGCATAATTTGGCGTGAACATACTTTATATGAGGCAAGCACTCTACCAACTGAGCTATATCACCAGCCCAACATACTTTATATACAGAGTTATGAAAAATTGTGCTGTGAATGGATAATTACGAATGTAATGCATTCCACTATTGTCATGTATGAAAGAAATAATAAAAAAAAAGAGTATTTGTTTCTCCAGGAAATGGTTGAAGACTGGCCTGCTACTTTCAGGCACCATGTTAACATATTTTCTATATAATCCCATGTTATATGACCATCACATGGTCACTATTTTGACGTTGATAGTATTCAACACTTCAGGAAAGAAATGATCACTGTCACAGATATCTCTTCCCTTTCTTTCTATATGCATCTACCTACTACTCACCTCCTTTTGGGTGAAGATAGATAGGAATGTGGAAAGGACTAATGGTCAGAGTAAAAGAGGAAATCAAATAGGAGAGAAGAATTGTGCCATAAGCAAACTCACATATACCTAAATATTTTTCACATCAATCTCACATATTATTTTATGGTAAAAAGAATCTCACTGGAAAATAAATTCTCAGAGAAAAGTGAAATTACAGCTATTGTCATATTAATATGGAAATCCAATTTCTGAAATATATTTGTGTTCAATCATTTTACTTTTCTCAAGAAAGTAAGTATAGGTCCATAATTACTAATATGTAGTTTAAAAAATTAAAAAAAAATTTTTAGTTGTGGATGGACACAATAATTTTATTTATTTATTTATTTATTTATTTATTTATTTATTTGGTGCTTAGGGTTGAATCAGTGTTTCACACATGCTAGGTAAGCAATCTACCACTGAGCTACAACCCCAGCCTCCTAACTTATAGTTTTTAAACTTCTGAAAGACTGTGAAAAACTTGGGACCTCTAGTTCACCTGAAAGTCAGTAGCTTTCAAGAGTTACGCCTTACAACTTAAACTTAACTAATGAAAATAAAAAGAACAAAGGGAAATACTAAAAACTGACTGGAGGGGCAAATAAACAATATGCTATTTGACTAAATGAGTCTTGTTTCCTTTAAGAAAGAGCATTATTAGAAAGCTACCAGAACTCAATAAAAATATATTTCACCTGTCACAAGTGGTTGGAAAAACATGTCATTACTGACACTTCAGAACTCTTGGACCTTATATAAATAAGTCCTAGTCTTCTTGTATATGTCCAGTTCTGAGAATCCTATTCACCACTGCATCTTATAAAAATGAACTGCCGATAAGAAAAAGTTTTTTCAAACTTCTGGGCATTTTACTCAAACACAATCCAAGTATGCTTGCAAACAAAAGCATTTTGAACAAAATTCTTGAGCTATACCTAGCATTATTATTATGCATACCCTTGCCTTTTCCCATTAAATGTAAGGAACATATCTTAAATTTTGTTTCAATCTTCTTATAATAGGGTTAAGTAAGTATATAGTCACTGCTTATTAAACATTTTTGAGAAAGCTAAGTAAAGGGAAATAAGTTTGGCTGTGGTTAAGAGTCAATGATTGTTTTATTCTTGAGACCTAAAACATGATAAAGACATGTCCATGAAGACCCCAAAGCAAATAAAAATTTGAGCAGAAAGTAGAATCAAAGCAAAAATAGGTAAGTAAATTTCTATTTTGCTTCTGCATATGTTATCAAAAGATGAGCTTTGCTCTGGAAAATATGGTGAAACAGGTTTAAACAAATTAGAATAGAATAATTCTAATGAGCAAAGAACTTCTCAGAAATCACAGTTAGCCAAATTGATACAAATTCTCAGATTAGATAAATTATATATCAAGGTACTCAGGAAGCTTCTAAATAACACTGCTAAGCTGCCCTTAAAAAAAAAATCTATAAACTAGAACCACAAAGATGCCAAAAACAAACAAAAAGCAAAAACAATTAAAAAAGCAAACCTACCATACTTTTTAAAAAGGAACAAGGAATATTTTAAAGAGCTTGGCTTTAGTAGTATTCAGAGAAAATATAGAAGAATCTTTTTTATAATCTTTGAGCTGGAAAGACCTGTCCAAATATGGAGCAAAATCTGGAAGGTATAAATTATACCAAAAAGGCCCCCCAAATTCACTATGTAAACATTTAAAATTTCTTCTCCTTAAGTATCAAAATACAACTGAAGAACAAGAGTTAAAACAGGAATTATATTAGGCAAAATGCTAATTTTCTTTAAAGGATTTCTACAAAACCATGAGAAAAAGAACATCTCATTAAAAGAAATGAGAAAAAAACAACAAAAATTCATTGAAAAGGAAAATCAAATACCTCTTAAATGTACTGAAAAGGTCCATAATATCACTCAATGATAAAAGTACAAACTGAGCTCTGGGGCACATATCAGTAATCTCAGCAGCTTGGGAGACTGAAGCAGAAGGATCATGAGTTCAAAGCCAGCCTCAGCAATTTAGCAAGGCTGTAAACAACTCAGTGAGACACTGTCTCAATAAATTATAAAAACAGCTGGGGATGGGGCTCAGTGGCTAAATGCCCTGGGTTCAGTTCCTAGTATCCTCCTCCCCCCGCAAAAAAGAAGTACAAACTAAAAATATAATAAATATCCTTTTTCTTATCAGATTGGCAAGGATTTAAAAAAATCAACTAACATATCATG